TATTATAAACTATTTCCTTGCAGTAATTTAATTGCTTGCGCTGATAGAATAATAAATGACAGAGTAATTACCATTATAAAGAGGGAATCTTCTCCTTTCTTTACCATGAGACAGAGTGAAAAGATTTATTTTAAATTAAGTTTTTAACTGTCATCTGTCATCTCTTTACAGTGTTTTAATTATACCATAGGTATTAGTTATGTATATTTTTTTAGAAGGAATGATCACCAAAACTCGTTGGTCATCCACGGGGAGGAAGCAGGGGGAGAAAATTTTGCTATAGTTTCTCTGCAAAACAGTAATAAACTACTTTTAACGTCTTAATTTTGGTTAAAGAAAAGGGCTTCCATAACTTGGGAGCCTGGAAATAATAAAAATGGAGTCTGGAGGACGGCGCTCTTGAATGTCCCGAAACGTGGACGAATCATATTGTTTATTTCTCCGTGTTTCTATTGTGAAATACCATCTTTCCTATTAGAGCTTTTTATTGTGTGTTTTATTACTTTTTTATATGTATTAGTAATTGTAATAATCCCGAAGATTCGGGATCTTTTCGAATGTGGTGATGTCTCTCTCCAAGCAGTGCAGGCTTTGGGCATTTAGGTTTTTCCTTGTGTATAAGTTGAATGGCCTTGTTTCGTTTTGTTTTAGTGCTTTACCAAAGATCATTAAGGCTGGGTATGCAGCACTCCAACTAGAATACTTTTTCACTGCAGGCCCCGATGAAGTGCGTGCATGGACCATCAGGGTAAGAATTCATACTTATTCATCAGCTATATCCAGTTCCACACTATTGAATTCAGATTGATATCGCCGACTTTGAAGTTTGTCATGGTGGCGGTTAGCTAGTCATTACAGATGAGGTTTTTGTCCAGGATAACTTTAATTATTTGTGAGCTGCTGAACAGTGAAAGTGGAGCTGCATTGATTGAGGCAGGTAACAATTGATTCTGCCTATTACATAGTCTGAATTTCTTCATCCTGTAGAATCTGTCTACCCTCCTCCTGTGGTCAGAGATAAGACATACCAGTATTGTGCTTGCTTAATCTGTGTGACTGGGTTTGTCTGCAGTGAAATTGATGTTGCTTTTCATTTTGTGTTCGCTAAGTTTGTTTGGATTGCGGGGTGGTTCTTTTCCTCCTTTGGCTTGGCTCAGATTACATTTTTCACCAATAAAAGCAATATAACACCACATGATTATGCTCCTTGTGGGTTTCCCCAGTCCTGCTACTGAATTTTTCCAGATTTGAATACTGAGGAAACCCGTTTGTTTGAATGGTTTCATATGTCCCTACCCAGCCCTTACATATAATACTGTATAGTGATGGGGACTGATTAGAGTCAGAGTGGCTAATTTATTCCCTGTGGACAGTAAAAGCTTAGCTGTATAATGATTTCCTTTTTTTAAAAAAAATGAAAATATATTTTAATATGGAAGCTACTTTTCTTTTTCAGATGCATGTAACTACAAACTTTTTAAATATTAGAAAAAATATACTATTTGAGAGGGTGGATTTAGCATTCTGTGTGTGTGAACCTGCCTTTGCTTCAGTTATTTGAACTATGCAGTAGATGTTAGTATTGCTCATTTTATATCTTCTCTAAATAATTTGGCTTAGTCTGTGCTGCTAGAACATCAGCAGCATTTTTTTCCTTAACAAAAATGTAAAATGATGTTGTAGATGTTTATATACATCTGCAGGGCACACTACATTCTTGGGGGGGGGGAATGATATATAATGTGTAGTTTCATCTCACACTTTTGTTTGATATATCTCAGAACAGTGTGTCTCTAAAGACACTTGTGTGCTTAGTAGCAGCAAGCAATGCCTTTTCCTTTTGCTAGAGATTTTGAAAGCTGGTTTGTCTTAAGACTGATTGTAAGTATCTTTGATTTAATGTGCTGAGATATTTAGTCAGGTAAGCATCAGTGAGTAGCCATATTAACCCAATACATCTTTTATTGTAAAAACTATGCTTTACCGTGTCAGACTCCTTAGCACTTTAGCATGGTTTATTAAGCAGCTTTTAGGTCACCGTTATTTCTCAAATTTCTCTCCATGCTTGTGTGTGCGTAGAATAGATGCCCTCGTAATTTAACACATGAAGCAATTATAATGCATTCTTCGTAATTTAAATTTATCGGACCTATTTGCATGCATCTAGGCAGTTATGGATTGTTTTTCACTGTTGTTTTGCATTTTAAATGTACCGTTCAATTTACTTTTAAAAATATTCATTTGTTGTGTGCTTCATTTCAACACTGGAATGCTTTGGAATGTCAGTGTTTGGGGTTCATAACAGAAACCCTGTAAACCAATTTTTGTAGCACAAAGAATTAGGAAATTTATCTCGAAAGGAAGCCCCGACACGGTATACTTTTTTAGAAGTTATTTAACATGTTTATTCCTTTTGTCTTTCATTGCAAAGATCGAACTCCTGCACAAACCACACACAGTATCCAAAATCAATACAGCTGCTGACACACATTACAAAAAACAAAGCTTGCCCTTCTTACAATACCAGCTTGTTTATCTATGCTAACGATATCTGCCTATGACCCAACAGTGAAAATTAGCCATTTGGATTCTTGACACCTTTACCTGATACAAAACTAAAGTTTCAGCAGATCCTGAAAGCCATGTTAACAATAGAGAAATCTCTCATGTGTAATCAGTCTTCTTAAACACAATTAATTTTCTCTTGGTTCTCCCCCACCCTTGACAGAAAGGGACGAAGGCTCCTCAGGCAGCAGGAAAGATTCACACTGATTTTGAAAAGGGATTCATTATGGCTGAAGTAATGAAATTTGAAGATTTTAAAGAAGGAGGCTCAGAAGCAGCTGTCAAGGTGAGCTCCCCATCCTTCACCTAACACCATTTTCCTGTTTCAGGACTTATTCTTTTATTGGTGAGAAGCCCTTATTGACAAGTAGATCTGACAACCCGCTCTAATAACAGAGCACAGACACACTGTTTCTTTTATGTTTTGGCAAAGAATTAAAATGCCGTTCAGGGTATGACACTTCAGCAAGTCTAAACATACATGAGCAAGCACATGGTACTAAAGTTTCGTGCAAAGGAACAGTGTTAAGTGGCCTTTTTTGCATGCTTGTAGCTACCTTGAAATATATTATACAGATACATTCCTAAGATCTTGATGCCATTTTCAGATCACTACAGAAGCCTCATGGATAGCCATTTGTTGTATAAGAATTTTTAAAGTAATAGCGTAGTGAATGTGTTTTATGAATGTTGTGTTAAAATGGTTAAGATATATTTGTAAAAAACAAAGTAATAAAACACTCCTTAAATAGAAACCTAAGAAAAGATAACTTTTGCCTTATAGTAACTATCAAGATTTCCCATTAATTACAGCTTCTGAGCCCATTCTGTTTCCTGATAGTTTCCTTCATTGCCCCATAAATTAGTGAAAAGAGAACTCTTATTTGAAAATAGATGGTTTTGTGGCTTTAACTTTACGGAGATGAGGAATTTCATCCCCTTTTCTCAACACTAGAGGGCAGAGGCTGATTAGGTGCCCAAATTTGTGGGCCCTGCTAACAGCACTAACTGTGTTCTTATCAGATAATAGAGAAAATCAGATATAGATGTTATTGAGTATAGAGTAAAGAACTGTTTCTCCTGTACTGCAGTTACGTTTTCTGTCTTCACCTGGACATTATTTTTGACATTTAATGTGCCATCACCTGGGCTATCCTGAGATTTTTGTTTCTTAGCACCGTGGAAAGACTGGGGGGACTTACATTTACCAGCATGAGTGTTCAATATCCAAAGGCATTAAAAGATTTTCCAGATTGCATATTAATCATCTTCTATTTGAGAACCTGTAAAATATGCAGTAATGTAATTTCACATGTAGGTTACTCTCAGTAGTATCACTAAAGAAGATTGTACTGAGCAGCAGGGTTTTAATAGGCCTGTTTCAACCCCAGGAAGTTTATGTGTGTATGGGGGAGGGGGTGGGGAGGAGAATCCTATTATAATTGGTTTGTTGTGGCATGTGAACTCTCTTGTGGAAGTGAAGTTGAGCTTTTAACTGTGCGAGTAAACCACGGCCATAAGAAAATCTCACCTTTCCTTTACAAGTCAGGGAGTTTGTGAGTAATTATAAGAACACCAGTTATAGGAGTCTTTTTTTTTAAGAATGTGCACCAAGTTGCACATGAACTATACTGTAATCTTTTTTAAAAAAAAGAACACTTAGATTTCATTAAATGTTTAAATCAAAATGTTAAGCAATTTTCTGTATTCAAAGAAATGTTACAAGCTGCAAATTATAACATTCATGTTAAGTGAAAACCCGCAAAATATCTTTGTATTGTGAATAAATTACATTTTGAAAATGGCAGAGTTATTTAAAAATGGGTTTGGGGGAGGGGAGGGGGGGATAAAAATCCAAACATCACACAGCCTGAATGTCGTTTAGTCTGTAGTGTTGGGACGGTTGGTTTCATAAACAATACAGGCTGCCCATTTATTTGTGTTTATGTTGCAAAGCTGATTTGGGGAGTTTTCAGATTCAGCTGAAACAACAGTGGTCATGGGTGTTGGTTGCTTTGTATGTTACGAAGCTGATCGATTTTTAAGTTTATTTTGTGTGTGTCTAACATCAGTACAGCATAACTAATTTAATGCTAGTGCTGTGAACTATCCACTGAATAGCTCTGTGTGGGCTTTGTAGTCTACGGGGATATCACATTATTAGCAATCATATCTGCTTAGGCAAAGCTGGCTTCTACAGATGGCTGCTTTCAAGTGCAAATGAACTGGTTAGACGTGTCTTGTTTAATACATACTCAAGATTCACAAATGGGTATTGATTTTTTTTTCTCTAGCCACTGTTTCTGATAGCAATGAAAATGGATTAAATGGCCTCCAGGGAATTTAAAGGAACACAGTCACTTTTAATTAATTGTGAACTGGTAGCTAAAATACATAATACTTGTATTAGTATGTCAGAATGTATTTAATTAAAAGTGACTGTGCCCACTTTTGCGAAAAACAGTGAACACAGCCGCTTTGAATGAACAGGTTATTCGGAGTAATGCTTGTACATTGAACACAGGTCCTTTCTGCAACAGGAAATTTATATAATTTCCTGGTCAGCAGCTAGAGCTTGGCTGATGAGCTTCAAAGTTGCCTGTCAGTAAATCCCGTTGTGGATGCCTCTCCTCAGCCCTCTCCCTACCACAACAGGAACCCCCCCCGCTTCTTTTTTCCTCCCTGCTAAGTATGTGATGTCATGCCTAGAAATGGCCCTACATGCTCTCGTATTCTTGCTGAATAGCCCAAAAGAGAATAGAGTGCTCTTGCTTAACACAGAGGGTACTACCTGCCCCCTCCCTCGGTTGCCAACTAGGGGTGCGTGTTCAGTATAAACTCAACTGAATTAATACCAAAAAAAAACCTTATCAGTATTTTCCAGGTATTTATTCAGCCGAATGCAGATTAGACAATCTGATTCAGCTACCAATATATTCAGGCCAGCTATATCGCCAAGTTGTGCCTCTATGGCCAAATGGCTTGGAGAAGGCATTCCCTTCACTTGTGGAGGCAAGCCGCTGCAGCATGACCCCACAGGTGAAAGGAAGGCATTTTTAAATGGATCTGAATCAGAATGGACCTGCATCCAATGGACCTGAATCTGAAAAAAGCCAGGATTTTTTTTCCTGCACACCCCATTGCCAACCCAGAAGTGGGAGGGGAGGACTGCTTTAAACAACTTGGGACTTGTAACTGGAGTGGTACATGCAGGAGACAAAGGGAGGGGGAGGACCCACTCCTTCATTCCTGTGTTTCTTGCAGTTGCCAACTCATGTGGGGGAGAGTGGGACCCTCCCCCTTCCCCTCTGCACTGCCTAAAATAGCTCAAAGGATAGGAGACAGAAAGGTAACGAGATGGGTGTGAAAGGTGGAGGTAACTGTTCCCCATTGCAGGTGAAAAATTAGACTTTGGGATCTAACCCCTTGTTTGTGAGTATTTAATTGTGCAAACTTACCTACCTGTGACTGCAGCTGATGTTTTATGTTGGGTCCTGTACCCATAAGCAGGTGTCTGCTGTAAATACACTACTCTACATAGAGGCTTCTGCATGGGGCAAGCAGCTCTTGTACTGAAGCATGATACGCCACTCTGGTGACTCAAAACATCTTGCTCTGTGGAGAAGCCTCCCCACTGTCTAAGTGACTGTGTCATCGCCACTGGACAGTAAGCACTGTGGGTCTCCTCCATACCCAGATGCCTTAAATTCATTGCTCATCACCTCCCAGTGCTGCTGGCGGAATCTCGCACTTCTTGTTCAGTACCCCTGGCTTGTTGTCCCTAAGCAGCGGAAGCAAGGGAATGTCAAGGGTAGTAAGGGAGCATCAAGTTAGTGGTGGGCAGGAAAATTCCCTTCACCCTGGCGCTCTTCCCTGCATCTGTAGGCTGTAAGGTCATTTAGCCCCAAAAGCTGGTCTTCTGTCTTTAATTTTTTAAATTTTATTTTGGGATGAAATCTGTCAAAGTGATACTGCAGCTGTGAAGAGCCAAGGCTTGAGTCCAGTAGCACCTTAAAGACCAACACGTTTTCCAGGGTATAAGCTCTCCAGGGGTCAAAGCTCCCCTTATCGGACACTTTGTCAGATTCGAGAGTCGACGCTCCCTTCCTCAGAGAGCTCTGACTCTCGAAAGCTGAGACCCTGGAAAGCTTGTTGGTCTCTAAGGTGCTACTGGACTCAAGTCTCGGCTTTTCTTCTGCAGACCAGCACGACTACCCACCCGTAACCGTGAAGTTTGCTTGAGCACGCCCTGACCTGGATAGCTCAGGCAAGCCTGATCTTGTCAGATCTCGGAAGTTAAGCAGGGCTGACTCTGGCAAGTACTTGGAAGCAATGTTCCCTCTAAGCTGTGGAGTCTCATGAGCAAAAATTCTACTTTGTGAGCAACTGGCATTAAAGTTGTGAGCCAGCGATTTGGCTACTGCATAAATTAGTTTGCTCTGGAGCCATCCTTCCCGAGCTAAGACAAAAATCTGTGAGTCGGAGGCTAAAAAACTGTGAGCTAGCTCACACTAACTCACCTTAGAGGGAACACTGCTTGGAAGGGCGACCTCCGAGGAATACTAGAGGTGGGGCGCAGAGGGGGGCTCATAAGGCCACCTCTTTGAAAAAGTCCAAGCCCCAGAAGGGGTCTCCAGAAGTCAACCATGACTTCCAGGCAAGCACACAAAACACACAAATACACACACACAGTTTGCTTGAGTGCATAAATGACTTCCTGCCCTGGGGGAGGCAAGGTCCAGAGCACCCCAAAAAGGGTTCCTAAACCGCTTTCGTAGTTATGACACTGGCACGTGTGTTCTCTCTTCCTGCGCAAATTCCAGAGGGGTAGTCATGTCAGTCTGCCACAGCCCAAATGACTGCACCTTGGAGCACCTTAATGACAAGCAGCTTTATAGTGGCATAAGCTTTTGTGAGCCAGAGACCTCTTTGACAGATGGGTTCCCTTCCATGCTTGTGGATTTTTCCAAGATAATTTTGGAATAAAAAATGCAGGGTGGGGGAGACGGAAATGTTAATAAAAACTATCTCTGTTACCTGTCAGTGTTTAGGGATGCAAAACAAATGCACAGCTGACATTATAGAACAAAACCTGTTTAGCAGTGTTGTTTTTACTATCTGCAGCGAAGAACAAATTATGATTATATATTTGTCAATCAAATTCTGCCCAAGTCAAGAAGTTTACAGCTACAAAATGTCCCCCCCCCACAAGGTAGTGGTGTTTTAGTAAAATAGGTGCTGCTCTTTAAAATAGTGTTTATATACAATATTGTAATTCATTCTCCTTCTCTCTCCCTCCCCTGTGTTTGTGCAGGCTGCTGGAAAATACAGACAGCAAGGAAGAAATTACATAGTCGAAGACGGAGATATTATCTTCTTTAAATTTAACACACCTCAACAGCCGAAGAAGAAATGAGTTATCAGATTTGTTTGTTGCTCAGAATTAAACTCTGTTACTTAAAAAAAAAAAGAGAGAAGCATATGAGTTTTTATTTAGATAGGGTTCGGGATGGGGGCGGGGAAGGATACCGTGTGCATACCTATGAACAGATAATGCCCATCCATGAAATCCCTTTTTGTTTTGTTTTGAATTAAATTATGGCACTTTAAGTGAACGTATAAGTTCACTTTAAATGTGAAACAGCTCTGCCTCTCAGAAAACGATTAAGACTACTCCAAAATTGCAGGAGCTTTTCAGGAACCATATTACTCTCATGATACTTCATTAATCTCCATCATATATGCCAAGCCTGACGTGTTTGACAGTAGGGACAATGTGGTTTGCTCCTTTTTTGAATCTACAGATAATGCATGTTTTACAGTACTCCAGATGTCTACACTCAATAAAACATTTGACAAAACCAGCCTCTGTGTGTTTGGGGATGTCTGTATTGACGGAGTGTGGTGTGCAGAATGTGATACAGCACCTGGTGGTTGCTGATTACGGAATTTTAAGACATGTGTATGGTGCTGTTACTGGCAGCGTGGGGGCAGCTGCAATTGTATCTTAAAAGGGGAGCCTTTCTTTGGAATCAGATGATGAGGATGCCAAGAATTTGTCTCTGGAAAAGTTAATGCATTTGTAGATCGCTGCCACTAGATAAAAATGATTTTTTTTTTTAAAGAGAGAGAGAAAAGCCATGTGTTTAAATTGCATTCTTTGAACACTTAACACATGGGGGAAAAGGTTTCGAACATGACTTAATACTTTAATAATATAATGTGCTGTCATTAGAAAATAAGACTATAGGTTGCCTGGGACACCAAGGAGAGTCTTGCAATGGAAAATGCTACGGTGCTCCGCTGGTTTCAGTGTTTCCAATGATGCGTGGATTGGAAACTGCAGTTGAGTAGCAGAAGGGGAGGGATCACACTTTTGGGTGTGGGGGTGTCAAGTCACAACTGACTTATAGTGATCCTATAGGGTTTTCAAGGCAAGAGGTGGTCTGACTGTGGCTGCTCTCATGTCACGATCCTGGTATTCCTTGGTGGACTCCCATCCAAATATTTACCGCTTAGCTTCCAAGTTCTGATGAGATCAGGCTAGCTGGGCTCTCCAGGTCAGGGCAAGAGCGCACTTCAGAATTGGAAAAATCTTCCTGTAAAAAAGAGAGGGGGAGAGGTTGGGAACTACTTTCAGTGTTATTTATTGAGGGGGGTTTTATGCTTCCTCTCCTGGGCAACTAACCCAAACGTTATAACGCTGTGTGTGCGAGTGGTAGAGAGAGTGGACAGAGACACCTGTCTCTTCATTTCTCAAAATACTGAACTTGTGAGCATCCAAGGAACTTGATGGGTAGCAGATTCAGGACAGAAAAAAAGGAAACTTATTTACACAATAAGTGATTAAAATGAGGGATTCGCTGGCAGAGAATGTAGTGATGGCCACAGGAATGGGCAGCTTTAAAAGGGAGTTAGACACATTTATCGAGGACAGGTCTACAAGGGCTACTAGCCATGGTGACTAAAGGGGACCTTCACATTCAGTGGCAGTAGGCCTCTGAATCCCAGGGCCGGGAGGCAACATCAGGGGAAGGGCTCAGCATCTGCGCTCCGTTGTTTGAACTCCAGAGGAACTGGGTTTGCCTCCACGTGAGACAGGATGCTGGGCCAGATGGACCATTGGTCTGATCCAGCAGAGCTCTTCTTGTGTTCTTATGTATTTCTGATAGGGACTGTATGGGGTTTGCACTCATGTTTGTCTCCTCTTGTATCTGAAAGTCTGCCAGAGGATTCAGCCCATTGTAAAGGCCGCCCAGCCCAAATCCCAATCTTCTTCATAAGTTCTTGTGAGAAGGACTTGCTGCCTGAATAAACCCTCCCCTGGGAATATTTGCATCGAGACAGTATGCTACAACTAGTTCCTCCAAGCCTGCTGGGAAAGTTTGTGATGGGAAGTTACTGGCCCAACAGTAGATGTGCAGTCCCTAGCTAGCCTTGGATTTGAAGACTGACCTCTTTTTGTCGAGCCTTTTCCTCCATTTATTTACTTTTTTGGATCTCTCTCCCCCTTTCATAGTTTCTGTTTCTTAACGTGTGAGCTGGTGGGCAAGGTCAATTTTTTTTGGAACCACTGTTTTACTTAAATCACAGTATCTGATAATAAGCTCAATATGTTCTATTGGTCATGAAAGCAGGGAAACAGATCTCAGAAGCAAAGCAGGGCTAACCCTAGCAAGTATTTGGATGGGAGACCTCCGAGGAATAACAGGGCTGGGAGGCAGAGGCAGCTATCAAGCCACTTCTCTGAATATCCTCCGTGCCCCTCTAGGGGTCGCCAGAGGTCGCCATGACTTCCAGGCATGGGCGCACACACAAAATGCAAAGAAAGAAAGAAAACAGGGAAACCAGGCAACCAGCAGATGTGATAGAGGTTTCTACATATTCAGAATGCTCTCCAGGTATACAGAAAAATATGCCATAAAGAAACCAACACAAAAAGAAGGGGGAGATGAAAACAGAATTTGTGTGATGCTAACTGAGCACGTTCCACACACCACAGAATTTTCAGAGTATTCTGTAAAATAAACTGGGAGGGAGGCTGAAACACATATGAGTGTACAGAATTAGGATTATTAAAATTAGCATTTGTTGTACTAAAGCTGTGCTAATGGAAGGTAGTAGTGGCCCTTCATCCTTGCAGTAGGTGCATTTTTGTTAACTATAGTTCCCTTCTATGAGCCCTTGGTGTGCCTCAAAGCTATGTCACAAAGGGAGAGCTGCAGGGAATTCTTGCTGTATTTGTGTTGGGCTAGGACTAGATGTCACCAGGATAGAAGTCTTCTCCAGTGGATGCTAAGGTCTGTACTTTCAGATGTCGCTGTGTTGTGACATCTCATTAGATTATGCCTCGAGTCTGCATCCATTGGGAATAGAATAGTGATGGTACACAGTTGTCGATCAACACTGGATGGTATCTTCCAAAACGCTCTGTTGGTAATGTTGACACATCAATGGCTACAACCTTCTAGGAGTCTTAATGACATCTCCGTTGTAGTGAGTTCCATTAAGAAGAAAAGAAACCTTTGTAGAAGATGAAGAAATGGAATCTGAATTTCAATACAGAAAATGTAATTTAATCAGCTATTTCAAAGTAGCCAGAGGCAGTCATGGTTGAGATCCAGCTGGGTTAGGCAAGCAGATTCACTAAGCTTAGACTGTAACAGGGCCCTACCAGGCTGACAAGTTGATCAGACTGAGGAATCAACTTGCAGCCCAGGCTTTATAGGGCCAAGGGTGTTTGATTGGCTCCTTGGATCACATGCTAGGACTTAGGTGATCCTCGACCAAGAAACTGCAACACAGAAAGTGCAGTTGTTATGCAAACTGCAGCAGCTGGTTCTGTGATACAGGCTGTAAAGTGCTGGGTCTGGACTGGGAGAAGTCTTGGCTTGAGTCCTGCTAGGCACCTCACAAGAAGTCATATATTCATATATACACACACAACAATTCCCAAGTAAGTTTTTTGTTGTTCAGTCGCACAGTCGAGTCCGACTTCGCGTCCCCATGGACCAGATCACACCAGGCCTTCCGGTCTTCCGCCGTCCTCTGAAGTTTGCTCAACTTCATGTTCGTTGCATCTATGACACTGTCTAACAGAAGATTAACAAGTGAAAAAAATGTATGATAAAGTGCATGCAAAACCTTGAAGAACAGATATCTATGCAACAATGGGAACGATTATGGGAGAAAGAAATCAAATTTACAGTCAGCCAGACACTAAGAGAAAACTGGTACAAAATGTTTTTCATATGGTATGTAACTCCAAAGGACATTGAGAAAGCACATAAAAACTACAAAGGAAAATGCAGGAAATGTCGACATATATGGAACCTTCTTTCATATGTGGTGTGGTGGACTATAAAAAAAGCAAAAAGGTATTAATTAGAAAGAAATATACTGTCTTTCCTTCTCTATCCCTAAGGGTTTTTATAATTTTCCTTTCTTCTTGTTTCTTTAGCCTGTACACCAGCCATCTTGTCGGTTTATTAGCGTTCTCGAAAAAATGTTGTTTAACAAATTCTATATTTTTCGCGATTTCTTGAGTAAGGATGAGATTCATCTGATGGCCAAAAAATGGAAAGAAGAACAACTGCCCTCTAAGAAAGAAGTAATTGATAAAATGTTATCAGTAGTAGAAATGGACAAATTAAGTTTAACAATAAAAGGTAATAGCAAAGAGACATTTGAAAAACGATGGAAAAAGTTCTATGTATGGTTGGATAAGGAGAATATATATGACTCACAAGAATGATAAATGTGAACCGATGATATGATGTATACTGAAAATTATAAATAAACTTTAAAAGAAAGAAAGAAAGAAAGAAAGAAAGAAAGAAAGAAATACACTGAAAAATGCAGAATATATTAGTTTAAATTCCCAGTGGAAGCCAAGGTGTTGTGCCTAAAAATTACTAAAAATTTTAGAAGAGATATTCAAAGTGACTAGAACTATTTATGCAGCAAAATGGAAACTAGACATTGGCCAATGTTTAGAAGAATGGGAAAATAAGCTTGCCAAATATGCAGTAATGGCAAACTTAACCTGTTTAAAAAACAGGTCTTTTACGAAATTTGAGGAAAGATGGAGTGTGTATTATGTGTATTATAGTAAAGGTAAAGGTTCCCTTGCTCGAAAGCCAGTTGAATCCGACTCTAGGGTTGCGGTGCTCTTCTCCGTTTCAAAGCCGAAGAGCCAGTGCTGTCCGAAGAAGTTTCCATGGTCATGACTAATCCTAGAAGGAGATAAACTTAAAGTGAGAAAATATCATATACAAATGTATGGTACTGAAATAAAAGTAGAATTAAAATCTGTTCCAAATGTAATATCCCAAATACAAAAGGGTTCTCTATATGAGATATATAGGCTGCGGTCACATGGAACATTAGCCACGCTACAGAGACGGAAGATAGGCGGATTTTCCGGGTGCGATGACACCAGCACATCTGGGAAGCGTAGAGCTCCTGTGCCGAACCCGAGGCTTCCCGCCGAAGATGCGGGGTAAAAAACTAGTACCTCTGAGGTACTAGTCTCCGAAGACCGCGGGGCAAGGGCGGGCGCCTGATCGCATTTCCGGTGGAATCCCGTGTCATCCGGCGCTCGCCCATGTCCCGTCGCAAACAGGTTTTTTTTCAAGTCTCCACAGGATGCGCACAAGCGCCCAACGGCGCATGCGCACAAAGAGGCCCCCTCCCACTGCAGCCAGGCTTGCTGCCTCTGGAGGGTC